ATCTTAAAATCTATTCTTCTCTCTTTGAATATCCCTACCAAATTATGTAATTTGTTACATAATCTCTTTCTCCATAAAAACATGTCAATTAACAATGATGATGCTGTCGTTGTACAAAGGAGATCTTACGTAAGCGTTCCTCAGAGATCTGTAATAAGTTCTCTTTAATTTATATGTTAACAAAATTTTCAGTTCCTTCTTGAAAATATCTCAATCGTGGGCTACGCTGACGATCTTGCCATGTTTAGTTCCAACTCTGATCCAGATTTGTGTAGGCGCAATTTGCAATCTGCCCTCAACAATATTTCCTCTCGGCTTCATGGTTATTCCTCTGCTCATCTATGGTTCATCCATCACGTTTGTTAAAACTTTCGACTTTTTTGTTTCGACTGCAGACTTTGTCCTGCACTCGAAACTTTCCCCAGCAACTCATATTGACAAAATTGCCAGACAATGTGTTCAACTCGTCAGTGTAATCAGAAATCTATTTGGGATATTGCTTGTGGCTCTGATCCTTCTTGCATGATTAAGCTGTATTTTGGCTTAATCGGACCAAAATTAGAATACGCCTGACGACCTTTTGAAATTATGCAGAATCCAATGAAAATGCCTTCGGCTGGCGCTTGGTGGAATGGATTCTACACACGCACTAAGCTTGGAACAAATGGCAAATGTTATGCCTCCACAAAAAAGATTTCATTTACTAGCAAATTTTTTATCGAATAAAATTCTATCATTTGAGAATCATCCGGCCTCACCTTTCATTTACAACTTTATATTTCTCAATTCCTCTCCTTTCTTCTTTAAAATTTTTGCTGGCAAAACTAATAACTGCATTATTCTAAGAACTGGGGTACATAGTTTATTCAAAATTCCTCTTGGTTCTCAATATTTGCGATCTGTAATTAAATTCTTTCCGGTGAGAAAATTCACAGTCACTCTGGTAGAGGTACATCACCGTTACTCGAACTTAGTCAATACCAAATAGAAACATTTTTCATTCATTTCTACTGACGGATCTAAGACCAATGTTGTAGGCAGCGGCGTTTGGTTTCCAGATATTAACAGAGACGTCTACTTCTCAAATCCCCACTATATTCTCGGCTGAAGGTCTTGCGATCCTAGAAACCATCCGCTTAGCGAGTAGAAAATAATAATAATCGCACTTTGTTCGTCATTGTAAGCTAAGATAATAATTGTAGGGTGAGATAATAACTATATTAGTCGAATTTTTATGTTACTTTGTAATGTTTTCTTTATGTACTCATATTACGTAGTGTTCTTTCAACTAATATAATCAACGTGTTTCTTTGCCCCCTGCGAATCATAACATTTTCACTTTTCAGCGAATTGAGGTACACCGCTACAAAAAATGCTATCCTGTACACTGGGGCCAATACGGTGATATATACATAGATCTACTCGAACACCTCTGCAGCCAACTTTGACTCAATCGATCAATGTTCGACCGTTCCCTGATCCCTGTGAATCCAACCCATGAACAACGCATAATGACCATTTATCAACCTCTTTCCGTAAACACGCGATGTAAACATTGGCACCTGAGACAATGGAACAAGCCCCCTATGCAAACAGAGGCCATATGTCCGCAAGCATAGTTAGCCAACAGTAATAAGAAAGTGTATAGGCCGCACAGGGAAACTAGCGACTGTGTAAAATCAGATTCATTCAAAATCGTACATAATCAACATTCGTGCTACTGAAGCTGAGATATGATATCAAATCTCACAATTCGCATTAGGTTGACCTTAAGCCAGAATCGAATTAGCTGAAGCCCAGCACCAGTGGACAGACCTCAACATTAAATAGAACAGAACTTTGACTTCGTTGCTATTAAAAGATTCTTTCAAAGATATCACAGAATTCGCTTAGTCTGCTTGAATTGATCAAAAAAGCCGAATGTGAACGTTCCCCCATTTGCAATCCTATTTTTGCCTTGCATTACATTCTATATGCACT